CGAACCAATATGTTTAATTACTACCATTAATATTTTTACATGATCGATATATTTAAATAATTGACTTGAAACCCTGAATAAATTAAAACCTAATATATTGTGTGAACAAGCCACCTTATAAAGTCGAAGGACCATATTACAAAGGCCAATCCAAGTTAACCGAGCAAAATTGGGTATTGTTTTTTGCAATAGCTCTCCTATTCAATAGCATATTTACCCAAAATAACATTATATTTTGAGACATGCGATTTTAAGAGAGCTAATAATCAACCGAATGCGAAGCATAATTTATTTTTTAAAATCTTCGGCTAAAACTCTCATCAAATTGCATGTCTCTAAATAATGTCTCAGTGTTATTTTGGATTAAATATGGTAGTATTATTTAATAATAAATCCTGTATACATAAACTTAATTGTTAACTGCATATTCAGACAAATTCTTTATTTCAACTTATGGTAAATGAAATCTACGTATTATTGATTTCCTGGGAGCTTAAAAATTAGTATTAAAATTTCTTTGCTTCAATGATGGCAAATTAAATCTAATTTTTTTATATAACGATAATGAAACTTATTAATTTTGTATTTATATAAATAAGATATCTATGCACACGAATTTCTTGTATCTGTGCAAATGCACCTAAAAATTATAGCATAACAATAATGATATGAAACTGGAAGCATAAATTATTTATTTATTATTACTACTTGGAACCAATAGCAGATAGCAAAAATATAATTATTTACATCTTTATTAAAATATATTGCAATTTTTAAAGCTTTATTATTATGCGTATATATACGTAGAAAATTCTGATCGTTACTAAATACCGATACTACATTATCATTATCAATAATTGTTATTAGTAACCATTAGAATTCACGATAACAAGAGAATAGAACAACTTAGAAAAAATTCTATAAATAATGTCACCTTTGCTTCCTTCGTGTTTTAATTTATTACCATTCGTAAAATTAGATGCCATTACTACGTATTAGTAATTTGACTAAAAATAAAACCAGCTATTATATGAGTGCGGCTAAGGGAAAGCCTCGACCTTGTTTTTTGGATAAACTCAGCCGTGATCCAAAGCGTATGTGAAATTTATAAAAAAAAAAGATCGAGGTTTTCCCTTAGCTGCACTCATATATACTTCAGACATGGACGTATATTACTAAGTGATTTAGTAATGACGGCATTATTGTTGGTTATTCTTACAAATTAGAATCATCCAGGGCGACCATAAAAAGTGCAGTAACGTGATTATGGCGCAGCCACAGTATATATATTGCAGTATCGAATTACAATAACTGAATAACAATAACTATTTTACAATATGCAGTTGGAAAGAGCAAATAAGCGGCACTAATAGCCACGATCTATATTAGATACATGATCACGTTACTGCACTTTTTATGGTCGCCCTGGATGATTCATACGCTTACAAATTTTTATTAAAAGAAGCATTTTTTAACAATAAATAAATAAATTTTTGTCTAGTTGAACGCAATATTTAATAAAGAAAAGTGTTTATTAACAATAAATAATTAGAAACAGATCTTAGTTGAGCGCAGTATTTAGAAAATCGCAAGTTTTTTTTTTACGAGATAAAATTGCTTAGTAAACATTATTAAATTGCACTTTTAATTTTTAATCATCAGCAAATCAAATATTCATATATACCGCACGCATAATTTACGTGACCCTGATTTGTATCAAGGAACTCCTATTGAAAATTGGATAATCAATTTGTTGAATACTTATTCATAAAAAATTTATAGCAAGATTTACCTCTGATGTTTTATTATTGATGTTTACTGATGGCAATCGAATTTCATCCAATAGCGAATTCTCATCAATTTTTTCGATAATTGCTTCCTCATTTGATTCATTAAATAAAGTCCAACATTTTCAAGAAATTCATCGTCATCTTCATTTATTTTTTCAGGATATTGAAACAGATTATTCGATTGGTTATCTTCTCTTATCTTCCTCTTCGGATCCATTTCTTCGTCGGTAGGGATAAAAGTCCTGATTTCGTCCTTAATTTTTATTTCCATCAATTGTGGATAAATGATACGTATAATTTTTTAGAAATATAAGAAATATCTTCAGTATTATTTCATATGTCATGCTCTTGTGTTGATATTACACACTTTCTTGTTTTTCAAACCGGAAATGACTGCCTCAGTTAAACTGTCATCATATGAATCAGAGTTTCGTTTCCCATAGAATCTTGAACGTTTTGGCATTTCCCTGGTTCGAAATTGTTGCACTACCCTGGATTTCATTACCACACCAAATACTTTAGATATTAATCTCGGTATTCGGAATTTCACGCATATTGTTAAATCTTCGCAAATGGTTCCAACGCTTTGCCAGATGGTAATCAGGTCGTTTACCCTTACAAAAAAAGAAGTGACAATTAGTATTCTCAATCATATGAATGTTATTGATTTTCACCCCGTAAGTACGTCAGTTCGCCAAGTAGGCTTCAACAACAGACAAGCGAGTAGGTTATCTGTGCCCCGACGGATCAGTGTTAGGTAAGGCTAGTAGACTTAAACATCAGACAAGCGAGTAGGTTGCCTGATGCCCCAACACTGATTTTGTGAACTGAACAAACAAACACGAAAAAAAACTATCCTTTTGTATTGATTTATAAGTAGCTGTGCCTTTTCTTTTTTACTTCCGTGTTCACTTTGAATAATATGTTTGAGACACTTTAAATATGAATCTATAAGTATTCAAAAAGGTTCCTCTTTATTTGCTTCTAAAAAATCTATAATATTCCAATCGCTGAGTTTTGTCAAAATATCGGTTTATTCTATTTATTCTATTCATAACAGAATATAATGTTATTCATACATCCGTTATATATAAAACGCGAATGATCATCTTCCCTAGCTCTAGCACACCCACAAAAAATTGTACACCCCTGTAATTTTGACCAATCGAATTTCAGTATCAGGTGTAATTTAAAAATTGAAACGAACACATTTTTTATAAATTTTAATTAGGAAACCACCTTCTGCGGCCTAATAAAAAATGTTCCTCGTGATGTTTTACTATATAGTTCTAATTAGTGATTTGACCCGTCTAAAAAACCTTCACCCGGGTCACCCGTCGGTTGGACATCGGGTCAACTTATAAATGTCACCCACCCGGGTCACCCGTCCAGGGCTTTACTTATTTGTGCCAGTAATACAACTAGGGAATAGGGCACGGAAAATCATCACATTGGACATGGGGTTTAGGGCACAGGAGCATGAGGCATGCCCCTAAGGGCATGCTCCTAGGGCATGCTCCTAGGGCATGCCTATAGGCATGCCTCAAGGCAAAAGGGCATGCCCTTGTCATGTGATTTATAAAGAATATTTTGTTAGATACTAAATCAGCATATGGAGGGTGTCAATAGAAACCAAGCAAATTGTTTCTAAATAAATTTTTTAAACATTAAGTTAAAGAACAAATAAAAAAACTTTTATCAAGTATGGTTTAATAGTTGTTTAGATATTTTAACTTAATGTTTAAAAAAATTTACTTAGAAACAATTTGCTTGGTTTCTACTAACACCCATATGAAGTTTTTAGCATGTTGCAAATTCGCAAACTATATGTTAGTCACATGATTTAGAAAGGGCATGCCCATGGGCATGAGGGGCATGCCTCAGCACAAGACATGCTCCTATGGGCATGCTTCAGCACAAGACATGCCCCTATAGACATGCCTAATTTTTTTTCCATGCCCCTAAACTCTAGGCATGACACTAAAACATCATATGCAAATAAATAACAACATGTTACATATTATTATTTATTTTCATGTAATGCTTTAGTGTCACACCTGCGTGCCTATATGAAGAATAAAAATCACGCCCATGCCTCATTCCCTAAATATAACCCAAAAAAGAAAATTTAATTTGTAAATAAACAAAATGCATAAAAACACAAATTTAGGGTTAGGAAGTTACCACTAGAAGCTATAGCCATAGACTATTGCTTATTATATATAAAATTTCGTTTTTGACATTTTTAATTAGTGAATTTAGGTTGATTTAAATACTAGTTTTTGAGTATTTTCACTTTTTCTTCTTTCGCATAAGCAGAGGAGACATTCAATTTTGATGAATTCCGGGATTGATATTATACAAGTATTTATATAGGATGGTAGTATAAAATTAGAAATTTCAGATATTAGTAAACTTAAAAAAAATAAACTAACCATATAATTCTTTACTAATTAAATAGCTTTCTAGCAAATGTCTTGTTAAGAAACTTAATTTGAATCACATTAAATCATGCAATAAAAGGTAGATTTATTAATAGTTGAAGTACTGTCTATCATATAGTAAGAGGTAATAAAAATATGTTGTACTGTTTAATTTATAAAGTTCAACGTTAGTTTTTCTTTTTTTTTTATCTATTATTATTTAAATAATTAATAAGTTAATTTTATTATAACTTTACAGATCATTTTCAAAAGTTATATATTTTCTAGAAGATATTTAATTCAATAGAAGTCATTTTATATATACAATAGTATAGTTTTTTTAATTGTATAAAAGTATTAAATATATTAATAAAGAATATGTAGTTTCTTATTAAAAATATTTTTAATAAAGTTTTTATACTTGTAATTTGTTATGATAAGATGGTTAAAGAGGTTTATTTTTCTAAAATGTGACTTATTTTACTTCGAAGTTAAACTATAGAAGAAATAATAATATGCGAGTTACACCTGTTGATTGACTGCATGATTCAATAATTATTTATCTGTTTATATCATGTGTTAACAATATGGTTTCTGATTGGTTAACTGCAGTATGAAAAATCTGTACTTTTCTGAAAAATGAGAAAGTCTTCCCTGCTTTTTGCATATATTTAGAATTTATGTTAGGCTGATCCGGAATGATCAAAATTCGAACTCACTAATTGGTTATTTCTTTTTTAAGAGTTTGTATTACTAGCACAAATAAGTAAAGCCATCTGTAAGGTGTGGCGACTTAGTGAAGTTGGTAAGTTGTCATACTTCCAAGCAGCAGAACAAGAGTTTAAAACTCACTGATGACGAAATTCGAATTTTACAGAATGTGTTATAGCAGACTGTGTATAATCTGATAGATCATTAGATCTGTAGCTTTAGTCGTACCAGCTTGTACTGGAAGAACATAGAACTATAGTGTGATACAAAAATTACATGAAACTCGAGTGAAGCATTTATATAAATCCAAGGGCTGGGGCATACCGAATCCTGCTTAGCAAGTCTTGAGTAGAGAGGTAGCACAGATCTTCAATAGCACTATGTAAAAAATTATCACCGAAGATTCAGAAACTGTATGGGACCAAGGTGTTTGGCAAGGCACTATACCAACCAGATCGTTAGTATATTCCAAGAAAGAGGTCCGCCCTTCTGGGCTATCTGGATTGGAAGTTTGGGGACCGATAAAATGGTAGATGATCTGTAAAGTGGGTGCTGAGGTTTAAGTGAACTTTACAAGGGCAGTAGTAGGTAATGATAGCGGCTTCGGCTCTCAAGTATTTGTTCTCGAACTTGGTGTAAGTTACCAAAAGTCTAGGTTAGCCAGATTGTGGGTATGGAAAGCTTTAGCAATGATGCCTCGAGGATAAATTAGTTCTAAAGCTACGGTACGCATCTGGAACTCTTGACTGACGAATGTAACGAAGTGTTCTGGTAATACAAGGAGGCAGTGTATGTTACAGAAAGTTTAAATAGGTAATCCCCTAGTTAGGTTATAGATATAGCAGCTAGTGTAAAACCTATAGTATATAGTTATCTATATGCAAACAACTTAAATAGGTGCTCAAAAGGCACATGTGTGGCTAGTTATACTCTCTAATGTAATTGGGGTTCTATTGTGAGCTTCTTGCCCATTATACTTGAATAAAAACCCCTATACCAAAGAGGCTAGTTAATAAATAA